GCAGGAGGATGCATCCATGAAGCTCAACAACTCGTGTCCGGCCGTGGAGTCTACCAATTGGTCAATCCTTGGAAGCGGAAAGCTGTCTTTCGGGCAAGCTCTATTGAGGTTGGTAAAGTCGATGCATACCCTCCATTTGCCATTGTGTTTCTTAACCAGGACTGGGTTGGAAACTCACCTCGGATAGGTGGCCTCCCTGATGAAGCCATTTTGGATGAGCTTCTGAACCTCTTCCTTCAGGGCCTCATACCTCTCAGGGTTGAGGGCTCTCCTTTTTTGTCTATGCGGGGCAACCTTAGGATCAATCTTCAAGTGGTGGCAACTGACCTTGGGGTCAATGCCCACCATGTCCTCATGCCTCCAAGCAAAGATGTCAACGTTCTTGCCTAGGAAGTCCTTAATCTTTTCTCTCAAAATGTCAGATAGGCCTTTGCCTACCTTCAGCACCTTCGAAGGGTTTCGGGGGTCGGCCGAGAATCTCTCAAGTTCCTCTACAAGGGATGCTTGAGGCTCATGTTCCATTATGCGGGGTCAATCGCACCAATAATCAGCACCTCGGGATTATGCGGTGCGTCAATCATATCAACATCTTCTTGTTCAGCAGGAGCGTCACCTGGGACATCCGCCATGACCACATCAGCCATGATCACGTGGACGTCCCGGGGCTCTACCTTCTTAATGGAGCTTAGATAGCACTCTCTCGAGCCTCTCTGGTCACCTCTCACCGTTGCCACCCCATTTTCTGTCGGGAATTTCATCCATAGGTGGTGGATGGAAGTGGCTGCTCCTAATTCCTTTAGGGCTGGTCTGCCCAAGACTCCGTGGTAAACCAACCGGCTGTCAACTATGAGGAATTCCATGAAATTCATCGTAGTTTGAGGAGATTCTCCCATTTCCACTGCCAGCGTTATCTTTCCCCTCGGAGTGATGCTATCTCCGGTAAATTCGTACAATGGAGTGGTGGTGGGTGTCAACTGATGGTCCAATATCATTTTGTCAAAGGCGGACCCAAACAGGATGTTGACGGAGCTACCGTTGTCGACTAACATTCGTTTGAGCCCATTCCGGGCTATGACAGCCCTCACCACAAGCGCATCGCAATGGGGGTAATGAACTCTTTTGGCGTCTTCTTGGGTGAAGACAATGGGTGATACTTGGTTTCTTCGGGAGCTATTATCCACAATGTAACTCGTCAAAGGGGGGTGTTTAGCCTCCCGAGCATAATTTCTTTTGGCGTTTCGTGTTTCGCCACCAACATAAGGGCCTCCAAATATGGTATCCACCTCGTGGATAAGGGCTTCATCTTGAGCGTGTCGATTTCTTCGGTGCCTACGCCCTTCCCTGGGCCTCTCTGCATCATGCCCCTTCGTTGTGGGGATTCATCCCTTTGACGGGTAGCGGCCTCCTCACGCCCACGTCGGTTATCGTGCCTGGACGGGCGCCTGTTCGCCTGGGGCGAATCATGTCTATCTCTGGTGGGTTCCTGCTGGGAGCGATGTACATAGTCTCTGCAATCCGCGGTGTCATGCCCGTAGGACCTGTGGTGTAGACAGTATCCTGGGAGGTTCGGATTGGACCTATTTTTAGGTGCAAAGCCTCGGCCTCGGCCTCTCCCTCTGCGTGGTCCCCGCTGGGCCTCCATCTGATGTGGGTCAGCAATTGGATTGACGTCTTCATATGCCAAGGTAAGAACCGCGTTCAGAGTTGTGGTGGCCAGTGCTTGTCCAGAGTTCTCATTTCCGGTCTGGTTCATCTGGTAGTCCATGAGGTGGGAGGTCAGACCCCTACCTCGTTACATTTAAGAAGGTGGGAGGCCTCTGTTTGCCCTATTCCTATGCTCAATCAATTCCTCATTGATTATCTCCCTTCTCATCATCTCTAGTAGGGCGTCATAGGTGGTGGGGTCTTGATTCTGTACATCCCTCCAGAATAGGGTGTTCATGTTCAGGCCTCCCCTTAATGCAGATAGTGCTTCTCTGTCTGTGATTTGTACGCAGTAAGTCATCTCATCGGTGAAGCGTGATAGGAAGTTCTTTAGGGACTCCCCATGTGCCTGTCTCATGTTTTGGAGACGCTGGATGGGGGCCTCTCCTTCCTTGCTTACTGCAAATCGCTTCAAGAATGTTTTCTTGAACTCGGGCCAGCTTCGGATGCTCCCAGGTGGCAACCTGCTAAACCAGATTTCAGCCGCTCCACTGAGGGTTAAGTGGAAAGCCCTGCACTTCACGGCTGGGGTGGCACCCCTTAAGCTCATGTGAGTTTTGTAAGCGTTGAGGTGCTTCTCCGGGTCGCCTCTCCCGTCATACTTTGGTATTTTTGGCATGACGTAGTGGCTCAGGACCTGGGCATTCCTTAATTCTCTTGAGAATGGCAGGTTCTCATCATCATCATCCAAGTCACAGGACCTCTGCTGCTCATCAGAATCGTAGTCATCGGCCTCGTACCTTGGTTGCTGGTGAGAGGGTCTGGGCCGGTTCCTAGCCTCTTCCTCCCTCCTTTGCGAGGCAGCGCTGGGGTCATTTTCATGCCTTCTCTCTGGCTGCTGGGGCATTGGAGGTGGAGGCTGTGGCCTCGTCCGAGGCTGCTGAGCCTGCTGTTGACTGAGCCTCGGTTCGACGGGGCTGATTCTGTCAAAAACACTGCCAGCTCTCCTGTGTCTTGGATCTTGCTCATATGGAGGTGGAAATCATCGTGGCTCATTTGGGCCTCGGTGGGTCGGCCAGAAGCATAGTTGGAGGAAATGTCGACTCCCACTTCCTTCTCGAACGGGCTTCCACCTCGGCCATAGTCTGGTGAGGCAGTCCTATGACTCTGAACCTCATCCTCTTGCTGATAGTGCCCGTGGGGGGCGTATGGAGGAATGGGGAAGCCTCCCTGGCCTTGCATTTGGGCCATGAGCTCCCTCATGACTAAGTTTTGATTGGCAATATCCCTCATGTTGGCTGTCATGGTAGTCATTTCTCTTGACAGTCGTGCTGTCGCACGCATTCCACCTCTCGTTTGGTGGTGGTGGAGCCTCGGTCGAGCTGCTGGGGAGGCACATTCGTGCTTTCTCTTACCCTCCTAGAGGGGGTATCTTCGTTAGAGCTCATATTTCTTTTATCAAACTCAGATTTGTCCAAGTGATAGGGGTTCCTCCTGTTCTTTTTCGAGAACAAATCCTTTTTCAAGGGGGGTTGCCCAAATATTTTTCAGTAAGCTTTTACCACAAGGTTGCTCATGGTTATGATATGGTTTCTCACAAACAGCGCCAATCTGTTGACCCCAAAAAGTGAGCCAACAGATGCTGGTCCTACCCGCGCTTGCGTGGGCGAATGTCCAACACGCTAAGACACGTGGACGGTCTAAAACGAGCGGTTCAAAGGGCGTGGGAGTAGTCCAACGATGCGGGACGGTGACTTTCAGAATCCGACGGGTTGTTCGTGATCCGATTGTACAATAATTACCGACCGGTGTTCATAAATGTATATGTAAATGTGTATAAACTCGATTTGTGTCTTGCAAGTAAAATGAGAAAGAGTTGAGTAAAATGTAGTTCTTTGTATTGATTCTTGCATTAGCCTTTTGATTTTACACAAGGAAGTATTTATAGTAGTACATATGAAATGGGAGCCCTTGAATGAAGTGGCACGTGGCCTCATCTCTTTAGTTCACACATCTTTTCCTAGGTATGGGGCTTGACTTGCTAGCTTACGGCACATTTATTGCTTGTGTAGGGCCTCCATGCTAGCGACAAGACTTAACATTTATGCTTATGACAAACGTTCCATCAATCATTCGAATAAGATCTGTGCAGGCGATCTCTTGGGAGAAGTGACCATGGAGGATGTTTCTTTGCGGTTCAGAGGCTCGTGCATCAGTTTCGGGGCTTCGGCCATTTGTCATGATACTTACAAATGAGGGCCTCAGCTGCTCTCACCAGGTTCCTGCAGCCTGGCTTCGGTTAATGGGCCTCGGACAAAAAGGAGCCTCGGCAGATGGACTTCGGCTAGAAGCAGTTCGGATGTAACCCACCTCGGCATTGTGTGCCACCTCGGCAAGAATGCCACGTGGATCGCCATGAGTGGGCCATCGTCCAAGTAGGTTGGCCAGGAGTGACAACACGCAACAGAGGATACTAGAAAATATGTCACATTCTTCTATTTGAAGCAAGTTGAACCCTAACCTTTTAATGTTATAAAATAAAAAAAAATTCACGGGGTAAATTGCCATCACTAGTGAGTTCTATGACAATTGATGATTTTAATAGCCAAATTCTATTACATGTTCGGCTTAAAGTCCTGTGTGCTGTGGCTGCATTCAGCAAAAAAAAAAAAAAAAAAAAGGTAAAATTTGTAAATGGACGAAATAGCTATTGGGAAAAATGGACCAAATAACTAAAATCCTAGAATTTGCTACAATGCTCGACAACAAAGCTTAAAAGGCTGACCTTTCGCTGGGAGAAATGGACTGTCGGCCGGCGATGGTGGAGAATTCGTCTCAACTTTCGTTGTTGTCGGAGTTGAAGGTTTCGCACTTCTTGCTCGGCCAAAGATGTGGAGTATATATGTTGCGGATTGCTTGGCCGGAGTTATGGAGATTTGGTGGTGGGTTTCTCTATTCTTGGAGATGTGGGGATATGGAAATTTTGGTGGCGGATAATATTGCTTCCCTCTTTCTCAGGTTTTTTTGTTCCCTCTTCATTGTTCAGCCTCCTTTTTTTTTTTTTTCCTTAAAATATTGATCTAGCGGTCTTTAGTCATCTTGCCATGTTAGTCAAATTTGAATTCCTGTAAGAAATCTGTTAAATGAGCCTACACTCGTAGCTTTTTCCTAAAAGTGAACCACTGTCAATTGTATTCTTTTCTTTTATTATTATTGTCTTCTTTTCCATTTTGTGTTATTAATTATTCATTTTGTGTTTAATCTATAATGAATCCTAGAGAGCTACATAAAGTCGTAGAAGTCTAAGCGTTCCATGATTCCAAGCATCATTTTCATATATATATATATCCAAAAAAAAAGTCAATTCTCCACTCTTTTCTTGACCACGTAATATGGAGGCATTACAGAAGGAATTAATCATTTGTTAATTCCTCGTAAAATGCATTTGACGCTCAGAGTGAGTATATATCATGTACAAGATACCTTGTGCTAAATTACATGTAAACGATTTTGAATGCCATATGATCAACTCAACCCTCAAAAGATTATATGTACTATATTCTGATAACAAACCCCAGACCAAAAATGTCATCTTTACTTGAAAAATCTTCATCTGGGCACTCAACTCGATGCAATTTGCTTCGCAGTATAATTTCTCTCTACTGGCCATTCAAAATTGCCTTCTCACAGTTTTCTTCTTTGCTCTGCTGGTAGCCTGCTGTTTCGTGATTTAATTCATCTCTGCATAAACAGAGAGAAGGATTAGAAAAAATTCCGAAAGCATCTACAAAAATGCAGAAGACCCCAACATCATAAATCCAGTGACTAGAGCCTTCTTATCGTCATTCACGACCTTGTATTTCAGCAGAAAGCAAGGAAGAAGGGTCACGGAGAAAGATATATTTTTTGTTCAAAAATTAAAAATTGACACACGGGCGAATGCATGGACACAGACAACAAACACTGATTTTATGACCAAACTTTGCCTAGATCACGCTAGTCTTCGTCAAAACCAAACAGGTAATATGTAAATAAATCATTATTTAGAAACAGAAGTCGATAAACAAATAAATATTGTAATCTTTTATACAAAAACAAAAAGGTTACCAGAAAATCATTCACAATACAATTGAAAACAAATAATCATAAGATTCCAGTTCAGTTGATCAAAGAATGCTTTCAAAAAAAAAAAAAAGACACTGATGAGCATTCCACAGAAATTGTCCGCCCACCCCCACCCCAAGGAAAATAAATAAAACCATCCTCATTCTGCAAATTTTACACGGGAATCTTCTGAATGCTAGCATAGCAGACTCGAAACTAATGGATTTTGACTTGGACATCACCAAACATCGTCTCGCTTTAAGAAAAAATTTTACATTTTTCAGATCCGAGTGTCCATGAAGAAAAGGGTATGCGTGGAGAGAGAGACAAGTAAGAATGCATTTGCAACCACTAACTGAAATATCCAAAAACAAACCTGAGAAAGTTCCAGATTGAATCATAATAAAGTATAGCAACTACTCTTCTTTCTCTCTCTCTTAGACCCTCTCCACGCTTAACCACAGGCAACTGTTTAATTCCCTTAGCCTCCATTAGTTGCTTTGCCATTACCAGATCAGTATCTGGATAACAAATCAAAAGTCCACGTTCTCGTCCACGATAACTTATCCGACGAGTACATACAGAAGAAATGGTACACGTATTTACCTGCAATGGAATGCACAATCACTGCAATGCCACAGATAAAAAAGCACCTAAAATTTATTGTGATTTGAAGAGACTATATACATCCGGATTTGACATATCGCCATTCGAAGCATGACCCGGATTTTCATATAGGCTCCTTCTGATGTCACCATGAGTTAAAATTCCTTCCAAATAATCGTCAGCATCTACAACAAGGACACATTTCTGCTCACCATCACGCATAGACAATAATGCCTCTTTTAGAGTCTGGGTCAGAGAGACCTTCAAATAATTGCTTGACATAGCCTGCGAAACCTGATTACAGCAAGAAATACAGTTGACGCATTTTGTCCTAAAGAAGTACACACCAAATAACAAATACAAACAATATAGATATCATAAAAATGCAAATAATGTGGTTCCCAATAGGAAAGAAGGCCAAAAACCTTTAAATCTTCCAGCAGTGTATCTGCATCCATTTGGTCATGGTTACCAGAATCCCCAATCACTGAAAGTTCAACATCTTTACCTTCACCAGTTTGTCTCCATACTTCATTTTTGTCTTCAACAGGAGAAAGAACAGAATAACCTCTTGGCAAATCCTCTGTATCTGAGGCCTCAGAGATCTTGGTCCGAGTTGTCACGGAGGGCACCCATATTGCTAGTCCAACAGCTCCCTGTTGCAAATTGTGCCCAAAAAAAAAAAAAAGGCAAAATACATTAGAACACACATTTAACAAGGTATTAAAAAATCCTACCCCGTAAAAGAAAGAAGAATATGATGGTTAAGTATGAAATGGATCAAGTAATATAACCCACCAGAGGGAGAATTCAAAATTTACAATCTCACAGTTGTTAAAGAAGTACTTAGCAAGTAATCAAGGTATCACCATAGATAAGTAGATATGTACCTAAGTGCACAAACCTATATATTAGCCTAATTGGATAAAAAATAATCAACACTTGAACATCAAAATTAGGAATTTAGAACATCAAAATTAGGAATTTAGCTGTATATTTCATATTGTCCTTAAAAGTATTTTGTGCTATATCAGTTATTAAAGTAACTAGATGGTGATACAAATGAAAAGAAGAACGATTCTGCATAATTGAGCTTCACATATCAATAATACAAAAAAGAATATACTCACGAAATGATGTCTAACCATGTGAAATTCACATGGCTTGAACATGCTACCCCTCAGCCAGGTATAGGAATGATGGAAACCAAATTATATTGCACTTGGCTTTAGCATGATGTGGTTATCATCACTAATTGGCAGAAAAACACCTTATCCAAGATTATGCGGCTGGTAAACCACTACAAACAAGTTTCTGGGCAGCTTGTTAACTGCGGAAAAATCTGCTTCCTTGTACATAAGCACTTCCCCATCATGCATTGTAAAACGGTGCAATCAGTGATGGGTTTTCAGCCTAAAATTTGCGTTTCGTCTATTTGGAGGTAAGATTATACAAAGATGATTTATGCATTCATCTCTATGGCAGATTAATGTAATTTTTTTTTAGCTAAATTGACCGCATGGACACAAAAGTTCTGTACCCATGGGTACTATTGTTATTCCACAAACTGTGTTAGCTTCAAAGCACTACAAGTAAAGAAACCAAAATGAGGGTATTTCTGAGGGTTTCTTTTTGCGAGATAAAACGGAGCAATCACGGATATGTTGGGTGATCGGCCCAAGGTGTGCCGCTCAGTTGAATAAAAAGAAGCTGGCTTTTGCAACCTAAAAGATCTTATTACAGCGTCCAAAATTAACTTTGGTGGTGCTTTAGAATACAAACATCCTTATGGGCTAAGTAACTATATGAAAGAGAAATGCTGTAAAGGCTGCCACCCTTCAGCTGTTTCTTTCCGTATTGGGAATAGTCAAATCTGGAGGAGAATGGCCAAGGCAGGATGTAAAGTGGAGCAGAAAATTGCATAGAAGGTTATGTGTGGGCAGCTTTTTTTTTTTTTTTTTTTTTTTTTTTTTTTTTT